GGGTTTGGGGGTTTAGTGTTTCGGGTTAAGGGTTCCTTTCAGGGTCCTTGCAGGTTCAGGGTTTAGGGGGGGCTCCTTTCGGGTTTCAGGATTTAGGTTCGGGGTGTAAGGCTTGAGGGTTCTTGTACGGAACCTGTTAGGAAGTTGAAGAACGTAAGAAAGGAAAACCTAAACCTAAATCTCAAAGCCCTCGAAGCCCCCAAAAAGGCTAAACCCTAAATCTAAACCCTAAACCGTGAACGCTAAAGGTTCACAAGAAATGTCAACTCTAGTCTCCTCAAGTGGTGTTGACGCTCATCTCATACTTCTTCCGAACCCAAATATAGCGCCTTCATAATCAGAACGTGGTTCTCAGGGTTGTGCAAGGATTTTTGTAGGGGCTTATATTAGAGCCGTAATAACTAGAGTGGGGTGGGGCTTTGAATTCTGGGTGTACTTATCATAGTATACCTATACGGACTACAACACTATATGGGATATGATGACTAATTGTTTGGGCCTTCGTATTTCAACTGTTATGGAGGTGCAGACAAGCCCGCCAGCTTTATTATGTGTGTGGCGCGAAGCATTTAGCATGACAGTATGGATGTAGCATGCTTCAGGTACCTTTTGGCGGTTTGCCAGACGGGGTTTGGGTGAAAGGTTCAGGGTCCAAGGCATAGGTGCGCGGTTTAGATATAGATGTTGGGTGTGAGTGCTAGGAGTTTAGGGCCTATGAGCCCTGGGTAAACAGTCAGCCACAAGCACGAAGTTTTTGCATGTCAAACTCAACGCTTAGCCCTAGGCCCAGCCATTAAACCCTGAAGCACCCTGGACCCTAAACCCTGTAATCCCAAAGCCCTAACAAAAATAAGCCCTTAGCCCTAAGTCCCCCTAAACCCTAAACCCTAAACCCTAAACCCTGAACCCTAACTCCCCCAAACCCTCGAGTCCCTGATAGAACCCTTTAAAGGAAATCCCTTAAAGCACGCTTAGAGATCCCTTGAAAGGAATCCGTACTTGAAGCCCTGCCTCTGAAGCGCTGTGAACCCTGACGTAAACCCTGAAGTCCTCGAGCGACGGTTTGGGGTTTGAGGTTCACCTTAAGAACCAAAACCCTACTTTTTTGTAGGGTCCCTATAGATCCCATATTAGGGTTTATAATCAGAACCTTTAAGTGGGTTTTGGGTTCTTAAGGCAGGGTGAAGGGTCCAGGGGTTGAGGGTTTAGGGTTGAAGGGTTTAGGGTTGAATGCTTTATTAAGGTTCAGGGGTTTGGGGTTCAGGGTTCAGGTCCAGGGTTTAGGGTTCAGGGTTCAGGGTTCAGGTTCGGGGTGAAGGGTCCAGGGTTCAGGGTTGAAGGGTTTAGAGTTCAGGGGTTAGTGTTCAGGAGTCTGGGGTTTGACTAAACCCTAAACCCTAAACCCCAAACCCTAAACCCCAAACCCTAAACCCTAAACCCTAAACCCTAAACCCTAAACCCTAAACCCTAAACCCTTAGGGTTTAGTGCATCACGCAGACCCAGCCCTCCTCCTTCTCCGCACTATCGGACACAAGGAAGCAGAGCCATCATAAACGAAACCTACCCAGAGACTCCAATACCCCTTAATTAAGGAATATACCTTAAATCATATTAGGGATCCTACTATATTTTAAGGAATATTCCTTAATTAAGGGATGTTGGAGTCTTTGGGACCCTAAACCCGGGTTTAGGGTTTCGGATTTAGGGAGTTGGGTTTAGGGTTTAGGGTTCTTTGTGGTTTCGTTTAGGGTGTAGGGTTTAAGGTTCGGGGTTCTTTGGGTTTGATTTAGGGAGTCAGGGCGTATTCTAAACAGGTAGGTCGGCCGCAAGCCCGGAAAGCAGGGTTTAGGGTTTAGGGTTGTCGGGGCCAGGTGAAGCTTCTTCGAAGGGAATCCCAGGACAACACCAGGTTGCGGCACTAAACCATGAATCGTAGGTCCCCTAGACCTTGAATCTTAAATGCGCCAGTTTAGGGTTTAGGGTTTAGGCAATCCTAAACCTTCTCCCTCAACCCCTAGACAACTCTTGTCACTCGGGTACCAATGGAGCCACATTCTTTTTTTTTTTAACGGAGGCAGCTTAACCTGCTAAACAGCAACGGCTTCATAAAACCCTAAACCTTAAACCCTAAGCCCCCTATATGAATGCTAAACCCTAAACCCTAAACCCTAAACCCTAAACCCTAAACCGTTTGAAAAGACGTGAGCCTTTAAAAGGGGATTTGACTCGCTGGGCTTTTGGAGCGTCTCGACTGAGGTTGAGGAGGAGGGTGTGTCGGGCCCTCAGTGCTACTCGAAACCCCAAACCCCAAACCCCAAACCCAAAACCCTAAACCGTAAACCCTAAACCCTGAGCCTTAAACCCCAAACCCTAAACCCTAAACCCTAAACCCCAAACCCTAAGCCTTAAACCCTAAACCCTAAATCCTAAACCCGAAACCCGAAACCCTAAAGTCTAGGGTTTAGGGTTCAGGGTTTAAAGACTCCTAGGTAGTATTCGGGACCAGGCGACTCCTGAAAGGGGACCCTTCCTTATTGAGAGGGTCTATATCCCCTAGGGTCCTAAAAATCCTAACTCCTAGCTGCGTAGTGGATGATAAGGTTTGAGTATCCTCTTTTGTCACGGTTTGGGCTGTGTAGGGCTTTGGGGTTTGTGAAGAGTTTGGGAGTTTGGCGGTTCAGGATGCAAAGCAGGGAGCTTGGGGGATAGCTTTTTTCGCAGCGTATGAGTTTTGGAATGTACGGCCAGACCCCAGAGCGACCCTAAACCCTGCACTAAACCCTAAACCGCAGTGCGTTTTCTAACTTATTGGGCTTTCTTCTGGGCATCGGCTTGCGAGCAGGAGGTGCTCAGCTCCTGCTTTTGTCGTTTAGACGGTTTAGGGTTTAGGGTT